ACCCCCAATTAGTTCTCAAGACCTCTTAGAACTAGGTGTTGTCAGGGATAAACTGAGGAGGGCTTAGGCATCAGAACAATCCTGCAGTCTTGACAGAAATCTAAAATCTCCAAAAACTCCTACCCTTTAACCTTACCCTAGGGGAAACTGATCTATGAATATTACATTTGTGATTATGAAAGGTGAAGTTGAGTGAGAGGAGTTGAGGAACCTGGAAGACAGTGAGCTCTCACCCTAATACTATAAGAAGCATGATCTCAGTAGACCAATAATTCGCCTTTTTATACATCTGTAAATAAATGGAATGTTTTTAAGAATATAATTATGTCAGATTTAGCATTTTCTTTTATATATTAAATATATATATCTTTCCTTTTCTGCTTTCGAAAAGTGACTATTTTTTTAGAAACCTAAGAACAGAAGTTTGGTGATTGAAAGGTAGAATATATAAACCTGAAATAAATCAGTTACAAGAATTAAAGCAGAACTTGGTGTTGGGAGATTTGTGCCAAGTTGGAGTAGAGAATTCTAATTCCCTAAGATATATTTGAGAGAGGTGCCACTGAAGTAGTTTTATCATAGGAATCCCTTCCTTTTCTCACAGTTTCTGATACATCATTTCAGGGAGGTTTTTGGTGTTGTAATCCTTGTGGCATGTTTTACATGCAGGCTTCAAAATTGTTTACAACCTGATGGCATGTTTTTGTTTTAGAAGACATTCTAAAATCATTTCAGTATCATTATGGGCAAGGCAGTTTACCTGTTAACCTTGGAGAGTAACAGTACACAAACACAGCCCTTTTTTTTTTTTTTTTTTTTTTTTTTGAGACAGAGTCTCGCTCTGCTGCCCAGGATAGAGTATAGTGACATGATCTTGGCTCACTGGTTCAAGCCTCCTGGGTTCAAGCAATTCTCCTGCCTTAGCCTCCCGAGTAGCTGAGATTACAGGCACACACCACCACACCCGGCTAATTTTTGTATTTTTAGTAGAGACAGGGTTTCACTGTGTTGGCCTGACCTCAGGTGATCTGTCTGCCTCAGCCTCTCAAATTGCTGGGATTACAGGCGTGAGCCACCACGCCTGGCCACACAAACTGTCTTAGTGGTAAAGGACAGTAGGTGTTCTTAAGGGAAGATATGTTAAAGAATTTGACAGTTTACAAAAACATTTAAAGGAATCCTTTCGACATTAACTACTCAATCTATTAAGGTCGCTAAACAGATCAAGTCCAGTTACATAAGCGTCATATGAAAGGTTCACTTTGTGTTAATTTTATAGTAAATGCAATTTTTTCCCTGGAATTATGGATGAAATACCTGATGCTAGCCCCGTCTATAACAAGTTTGAAAATGTTTTGAACACACAAGAAAGCCAGACAATCTGTCTGTTATTTTGGTTTTAGTGGTTTAGATGATCTTTTTTTCTAACTATACTGGTTGAGCTATTTGAAATGGAATAGGGTGATGCAATTTGAAAATGGGTCTAGAAAATAGTGTCAGCCCTTGTCCCTCACTCCAGAATTAAACAACAGCAACAACAACAAACCATGCACAGCACATTTTCCAGGTACTTTTATAGGGAGTGACTGATAACCAAGAATAGAATACATTTCTTGCACAAAACTGTTAGTTTTGAAGAAGGTGCTGTAAGGGCATCACTACTTTATGTCATCGTATTACCACTAATGAAATTTTACATGGACACAAATGATGCAGAGAAAATTAAAGCTGAGATATTCAGACTCACTGCCAGTTGGAGGGAAAAAGTCAGTTAAAATGCAGTTTTTGAAATAGAGGGAAATGGATAAATACAACTTTTTATTTGAGGCATAACATAATAGACATGACTGAGCTGTTCTACACATAAGTAGTGTTGAATAGAATAGTGATGGTGCTGTGTTAAGAGGGTGGGAAGACTAAAGTATGGGATGAGTTGGAAATTTTGAGACACATCTAAACTGCTAAATTCTATTGTAAACTCTGCTGGTAGAAAAGACATTAAGTAGGAAAGCAGTCTTGGAAGCATGGTTTTGAGATTTATCCTGTTTCCAACTGCAGTCATTGATCTCAGCTGTCTCACAGTGCCTTGCATGTAAAGGTGCTCAATAAATATTTGAATTGATGAGCAAATGTTTAGCCTGTTTTCCAGGATCTTCTAATTTTACCTTATTTGCATGTTCCACCTAGGGTGAATTTTAAAATTTGATCTAGTGAGTATAGTGCTTAACAGACAACTATATAACATCTATTCCCAGACATCTAGAGTTTCAGAAGCTGACAAACACTATGTATAGATGTTTAGGACATACAAAAGCAGAATAAAGTGTTAAATGGTGTATGGATAATGAAATACGAAGAGTTAACTGCATTTTGGAGGATTGGGATAGCAAGTACAGTCGTGTGTCACCTACTGATGGGGATATGTTCTGAGAAATGCACCTTGGATAGTTGTGTTCTGCAGACATCATAGAGTGTACTGTAGTTACACAAACTCATTTAAATGGGATAGCTTAACCACACACCTAGGCTATCAGGTACAGCGGGTTGCTCCTAGGCTATAAATCTGTACAGCATTTGTTCATAATTTAATGGGATCATGTGATCGTTGACTGAAATATCATACAGTGCTTGACTAAATCTGAGTGGAGAAGAGTGAATAATGCTTCTGTTCACGTTGGATCTGGGACTGTTACATTCTGAGGAATTCATGAAGAATGGGAATAGCCTATAGCTTTATTCCTATATTGGTATATCAAAGGCAGCATAGTACCTATACAATAAAAGTTGGACTGAATTGTGAAGAATTAAAAATGTGTGGGCCAGACACACTGGGTCACACCTGTGATCCCAACACTTTGGGAGGCCAAGGCGGGCAAATTAAAGAGGTCAGGAGTTCAAGACCAGCCTGGCCAAAATGGTGAAACCCCCTCTCTACTAAAAATACAAAAATTAGCAGGGCATGGTGGTACATACCTTTAATCCCAGCTATTCAGGAAGCTGAGGTAGGAGAAGCGCTTGAACCAGGGAGTCAGAGGTTGCAGTGAGCTGAGATGGCACCACTGCACTCCAGCCTGGTGAAAGAGCGAGACTCCATCTCAAAAACGAAACAACAAAAAAAGTGTGGTTTTGGCCTCTCAGATTCCAGACTTAAGACATCTTCATTACACTGCTTTCAGTTTTTCATGTGGGTCATCTTAAGGAAAGTAGGAGTTTGGATTTGTCTTCCAGCTTCAGTTGAAAGTATTAGGGGAATGTTTTTTTGTAAGGGGATAAACTACGGTAGCTTTGGATAAGAAATGACTGATGGTAAACCGTTTACCTGGCCGTGAGTGATTAGGTAAGAAAACCATTAGTGGATACCAAAAACCGTTAGTAGACAGCTCTTGTGGGCACATTTTTACTCTAGTTTGATGGATGGAGATGGCATTTGCCATGGTCTGCAGCATACAAGTAAAGACACCAGGTGGCACCATTTATTAGCTTTTACTCCCATGGAGAGGTGAAATCATGTACTAGCAAGGGGTTGAGGGAACCAACGATCTCTTGCATGTTGTAGTTAATGGTTCTTGCCTTTTTTTCCCTCCAGATTTGGGAAATACATTAGAAAATCACATTTCATGTTTCATAATATTTGCAGTGTATGGTTGAAAGGAAGAAGGCCACATGCTATTGTTGGTCTTCCAAAAGCTGACATCCATCATCTCCATGTCAACTTGTGAGATTTACAAATCTCATATGTGGCTACAGTATACACAAGCAAATATTTGCTTTGCCACTTGGCTGTACAAGGCTCACTGTTGTACACAAGCAGTGAATTTAGGGGTTCTTCCCTCTTGCTAACACATGTCATCTCGGGGCTTCAAAAGATCTGGATAGGGTGAAACAGATACACCAGTGTACTACTTCCCTTGGGTCCCTTGTCTTAGGCTTTTTCATAAGGTCTAATAATTCCTTAGAGGTTCCTCCCTCTTGTTGACACATGTCATCTCCACAGGGTTTCGAAAGATCTGGATAGGGTGAGATGGACACACCAGTGTACTATTTATTCCCTTGGGGTCCAAGTCTCTGGCTTGAGGTAATTTCTTACAGTAGTAAAGTGGAGAATACTCGGGAAATACATATTGTATGTAGCATTTCCGTGTATTCCCTCTGTTTCCCCCGCCATGAATTAGAAAAACTACCCCTCGACATATCATCAGCAAGCTTGACAGTGACCTCATCAAGGAACATCCTTGGGGAAAAGGATTCACAACTAAATTTTGACAGGAACAAGGGAAAAGATCTGGAGCAACGAAGTCCTGGTCAGCTTTAGTTGAGGGAGCACAATGGGATTTCGGAGGCTAAAAAACCTGTGAAACCTACAGTATATTTCATAGCACAAACACTTGTCTTCTCTCTTACCCCGCACGCCCAAAGCTCTGTTCAAGGCCACCCTTTTCCCCTTTCATTAAGACCAATCGGGTTGAGTAGCGCAAAACAGTGTTCTTAGCAATTGAATTGCGTTACTCAGAAGAATCGTTTCCACGTTGAGTCCACGTGCCGCACGGGCTGCGAGCAGAAACTATTCTAACCGCTTTAAATCTCGACACTTAACGGTGGCTAGGAGCACAGCTTTTAGGCTGTTGTTCAGTCTCCTAATTCTGAGCTAGGAGTTTCTGCTAAGGGCCCTCGGGCCTATCAAATGCCAACCTTAACACCATGGAGGCGTGGTTACGTCTGGGGGCTCTGGGAAGTGCAGTTCTCTGGGGGACCAGGCCTGATAATACCATAAAAGGCTTGGTTCTCTCAATTTTGAAGCAATGTTCTGTTGACCTTCCTTTAAAAGCGGTACCCGCAATTGCACGGGTTCCGTGGTTCTCTAGTCCCAAGTCGTCTGCTTCCTGGGCCCTTTCATTGGCTCCGCCCCGTAAACCTTGCTCATCTACTCTGGAATCGCCCTCCTGGCTGCAGGCCGCGCCCCTCGCGTCGGCTCCGCCCATCTGGCTCGTATCTTGGCCCAAGCGGTAGTTCGCGTTTTGAGCCGCTCGTGCCACCATAGCTCCTGCTGCTGCCTCTACCGCAGCAGCTACCGCGGCGGAGCTGAAATTGTCGAGCGCGATGCCGGAGGGCGCTGTGAGCGTGGTGGCCCTCGCTCGCCGGGGCTGGTGAGGCCGGGCCCGAACGGGGGCGCTGACGAGTAGCAGGGGCTTCAGAGGAGGGTGAAAGATAAAGGTTCAGAGCCACTGTGGAGAGCATAGAGCGAGCTTTGGGGGATAGGGGGTGGGGAGGGAGGCTCCCGTGGCAGAACGAGTTGCTGGGCTGCGTCCTCACTGCCGCTAGCGCAGGTGCCCTGGCCTCCTGTTGAAATCCCTGGTGGTCTCGGCGGTCTCCTGCCTTGGACACTACAGTTGCCATGGGAACAGTTGGGCATTAACGGGAACCAGATAGTCCACGAGACTTAACTAGGGCCCATCCCATCCATTTCGCCAGTTAAATGCCTCTGGCGGGCGTGGGCCTGGCATTTCTTCGTGGCTTAGGATTTTGTCCCCCTTTTTTGTGAGCCTTTCCTTCCAACGTTGTAAGAAACTATGCAGGGCTCGAAGGTGGGAATTAGGGGAAAGGAGAGAGCAGCTCCTAGAGGTAAAAGCTGCAGACTTCGCTAGGTAGAAGGTAAGACTCTGATAGTAAGGTGGCTTCTGCCATCTCAGGTCAGTGAGAGGGCATATTCGGAAGCCCTGTGGAGTGGGAAGACAGTGCCGCTGTTGAGACAAGACCCAGGACTGGGCCAGGGACTGTCCCAAGGGGTTTCTCGTCATAATGGCTGTGGAAGGGTCAACCATTACCAGCCGGATCAAGAATCTGCTGAGATCTCCTTCCATCAAACTACGCAGGAGTAAGCCAGGAAACCGACGAGAGGACCTCAGCTCCAAGGTGAGTCCTGGTGGGAGCCACCTCTTTCCAAACCGACCCTCTCCTGCTCCGTGTTCCTCTTTAACTTTCCTGTTTATTGGGAAAGAAGATAACTAGAAGCTCTTGTTGACTCTAAAGGATCACGTGTGATCTCTGCAGTCAATGATTTGGTTTTAGGTTGAAGGAAAAAGCAGCAGGGGTGGCCATGCTGAATGAGAAGAGGTGAATAGGAGAAAGGCTACCTGGCCTTCCTGGGTTCAGTTGTGGTCTTACCACCTGGGTTCAACTGTGGTCAAACTATACACTAAGCATGTGCTTGGGAAGCCAGTTGATATGCTATGACTCAGTTTCCCTTCTTGGGAGAGGACAGTAGGAACACATACCTTGTGAAGGGCTAAGCTGTGACTAATGTAGCTGCAGGTGTTAATGTAACAGCTGGGGTTATGTAAGACTGTAGTGGCAGAAAGAAATATGCCAAAACACCTAGTCGGAGGAATTGGCTTGGTAATTGCTCTTGCCTAGGGTCAAAACAAATTTTTTTTCTCTTCAAGAGGCATCGTGGCTTCCTAGGAATGATTACACTCAAGAAGCCAGATATCTGCCAGCAAAACAGTTGGGGATGGTCCTTAAGCATTGCTTATCTCATTCACTGTATGCCAGGAGCCACATCCCACTCCACTGCAGATGATCCTCACGGGCAAAGTTCCTTTCCATCCCTTCACTTGTCTGGGTTTTGTTCTTTATGCTTTTTTCTTTTTCTTTTTTTTTTTTTTTTTTGAGATGGAGTTTCACTCTTGTTACCCAGGCTCGAGTGCAATGGCACGATCTCGGCTCACCGCAACCTCCGCCTCCTGAGTTCAGGCAATTCTCCTGCCTCAGCCTCCTGAGTAGCTGGGATTATAGGCACGCGCCACCATGCCCAGCTAATTTTTTTGTATTTTTAGTAGAGACGGGGTTTCACCATGTTGACCGGGATGGTCTCGATCTCTTGACCTCGTGATCCACCCGCCTCGGCCTCCCAAAGTGCTGGGATTACAGGCTTGAGCCACCGCGCCCGGCCTCTTTATGCTTTTTTCAACTAAATGAACCCCAGAATTTTGGGAATCCTGAAGTAGACTGCATTTATTTAAACCCTTGAGGAAATCCAGGGCTTTATTCCCACAGGATCAGATCAGATTTTGTGTCTTATTAGTAGCCTGTAAACACAATAGCCTTGTGTGGTACAAGATTGTTACAGGGAGACGCATTTGAGACCACAGCATGTTATTGCTTTGTCTGTAACTCTTCAATGATGAGTAAATCCCATGAGGAATGATTTAGAATGCCACTGTACAAATGGCAGGATTCTGGGACGACTGAGCTCAGCTCTGTAGTCCTTAGCAGAACCTTGATCGGATTTGGTAAGAAGGTGAACAGCTTTCCTGTATATTTCAGCAGAAGTTATACTGAATCACAGTTTGCTAGAAGGTTCTGTGGTGGTGGACATTGTGACCCTTCCAAGGTCTCTTATTAATCGTTGTTTCTATTCTCCTGAGGCAGGCGAAAGCCTGAAACATAGAAATTGTCTTAGATATGACTCTGTTCATTCTTACTGCTGCAAGTGCTCTTATTCTTGACCGGTAACTTGGCAGTGACCGGCACCATTAGAGCAATCTTCTCAAATCTTTGGTCTCTTTCCCTGGCCAGGAATGGTATAAGTAGTAGAAACATGTAATGAGGGTTTAGCCTTCATTATTAATTCTTACTATATGGTTGCCATTCTTTAAGACTTCCAATATTATGTATTACTAATGCATTTAACAAGTGTTTATTGAGTGCCTATTAGGTGTGCAATAAAGGGGTAAAACATTACCCTTGCCATCAAAGAGCTTATGGCTAGTCAGACATGTAAACAAATAATTAAAACATAGTGTGATAAGTACCGCTCTAGAAGTATTCCTAAGTTGTTAATGGAAGCACAGGGGAGGCGACCTAAGTCACTTCAGGGGAATTAGGAAAGGCTTCACCGAGGAAGGGATGCTTGAAACATGAGTCCTGAGGCAGATGGAGAAAAGTTCTCCAGGAAAACAGTAGAAAAGGGGCATCCTTGGGAAGACCATTTACCATTCCTTGTTTAAAACAGGAATTCAGTACTTCAGACTACTTTAAATGGCTTTGTCTGTCCTAAAGCTGTGTGTGAAAGAAATACTTAGCTCAAGTTGAATGACCCTTGAATGGTCTGGCAGCAAAATGACTGGTGCTTATCTTTAGCACCCAAGAGAAGTAGCTGTCTTTGTGTGCCCAGGACCCTAGCAATGCTGGACTCCCCACAGTCTTCAGTGAAAGGTCTCTACCAAGATTATTCTAAAAGCTGCCTTGTGATAATTCTAGTGTATTAAGCTCTGTGAGTTGCTCTAATATGTGGTGGCTGTGGGTAATCATAACAGGACATGTGTGATTCATGGATAGCTAATTCTCAAAATTTGAAGACAGAAAGGCACATGTCCCTTTTGGGGGTCAAAGAAGGAAATGGGCCGGGCGCGGTGGCTCAAGCCTGTAATCCCAGCACTTTGGGAGGCCGAGGCGGGTGGATCACAAGGTCAAGAGATCGAGACCATCCTGGTCAACATGGTGAAACCCCGTCTCTACGAAAAATACAAAAAATTAGCTGGGCATGGTGGCATGTGCCTGTAATCCAAGCTACTCAGGAAGCTGAGGCAGGAGAATTGCTTGAACCCAGGAGGCGGAGGTTGCGGTGAGCCGAGATCGCGCCATTGCACTCCAGCCTGGGTAACAAGAGTGAAACTCCGCCTCAAAAAAAAAAAAAAAAAAAGAAGGAAATGTCAGAAAGCCTTTATTCAGCTCTTCAGATGGCCTCCTGCTTTGAATTATACTCTTGCTTCTATCTAAAGTAGCCTTCTCCGTTACACCAGATTCTACACTTATTTTTAGGTCCAGTTCCGTATTTGTCAGAGCCACAGGGCTTTCTCTGACCAGCCCCCACTTTGAAACTGGTTTCTTACATATGTCTTCATTTCCCAAGGTTGGGGTCATGCTCTTTATTTCCTTTACATCACACCATTTAGGACAGTGTCAGATGAGCAGTAAGTACTTAAAAGAAAATAAGTGAGAATAAAATAATCAGGAGGAATTATGAGCTCTTTAGAAGAGAAGTCAAAACTAGGATTAATAAAATGGTGACAAAGAGGTAGAGATGCAGCCTGATGAGGTGTGAAGGACATGAGAAAAGAAGTCCACATTTGCAGAAAGCAGTGCTCAGTAGACTCCTTAATTCAGGAGAGACCTAGTTAAAAACAGGGCTACAAGCTGGTGTGAGAGAGCCAGTGGAGGTGGAGATTTAAGTTACAGCAAAGAGAGTAGCTAAGAGCTGAGATTTTTATTAAGCCTTTTCAAAGGGAGGGGAGTCTCTGAAGTAGAATAAATTGGAAAAGAGTAACTTAAAGTTTTATGCTAAATCTGCTTAGTCTTGGTGAAGTGTGACTTAAAGTTACCAGTTGTTAATACTCAAGTTCAAATCCTGTAGACTTGTCAGTTCCTGCCTCTCATTTCTAAGTTGGGGCTGTGTTTTCCATTTTTTTTTTTTTTTTTTTTTTTTTTTTTTGAGATGGAGTTTTGCTCTTGTTACCCAGGCTGGAGTGCAATGGTGTGATCTTGGCTCACCGCAACCTCCGCCTCCTGGGTTCAGGCAATTCTCCTGCCTCAGCCTCCTGAGTAGCTGGGATTACAGGCACGCGCCACCGTGCCCAGCTAATGTTTTGTATTTTTAGTAGAGACAGGGTTTCACCATGTTGATCAGGATGATCTCGATCTCTTGACCTCGTGATCCACCCGCCTCTGCCTCCGAAAGTGCTGGCATTACAGGCGTGAGCCTCCACGCCCGGCCTGTTTGATCACATATATGATTTGGTATTGGGGAAGCATACTCATACTCATTTTTTTTTTTTTTTTTGAGATGAAGTTTCACTCTTGTTGCCCAGGCTGGAGTGCCATGGTGCAATCTTGGCTCACTGCAAACTCTGCCTCCTGGGTTCAAGTCATTCTCCTGCCTCAGCCTCCTGAGTAACTGGGATTACAGGTATGTACCACCATGCCTGGCTAATTTTGTATTTTTAGTAGAGACAGGGTTTCTCTATGTTGGTCAGGCTGGTCTCCAACTCCCAACCTCAGGTGATCTTCCTGCCTTGGCATTTTTTTTGAGGTGGAGTTTTCGTTCTTATTGCTTAGGCTGGAATGCAGTGGCGCAATCTCAGCTCACTGCAACCTCCGTCTCCCAGGTTCCAGTGATTTTCCTTCCTCAGCCTCCCAAGTAGTTGGAATTACAAGCGCGTGCCACCACGCTAGGCTGATTTGTTTGTATTTTTAGTAGAGATGGGGTTTCACTATGTTGGCCAGGCTGGTCTCTAACTCCTGACCTCAGGTGATCTGCCCTCAGCCTCCCAAAGTGCTAGGATTACATATGTGAGCCATTGTGCCTAACCGCATACTCTTTTTTTTTTTTTTTTTTTTTTTTTTTTTTTTTTGAGACAAAAGTCTTACCTGTCGCCCAGGCTAGATGGAGTACAGTGGTGCGATCTTGGCTCACTGCTACCTCTGCCTCATGGGTTCAGGTGATTCCCTTGCTTCATCCTCCTGAGTAGCTGGGACTACAGATGCTTGCCACCACACATGGCTAATTTTTGTATTTTTAGTAGAGATGGGGTTTCACCATGTTGGCCAGGATGGTCTCTAGCTCCTGACTTCACGATCTACTCGCCTCAGCCTCCCAAAGTACTGGGATTACAGGCATGAGCCACTGTGCCCAGCACACATACTCATTTTTAAAGCATTTGTGGATCTTGAGCTCCTGCTCGACGGCCCTCAGCTTGTGGGAGGAGCACAGAGGGAAGTGAGACACCAGAATACCTGTGCAACATTTAAAAAATATGCATTCCTGGACCCCATCTTAGCTGTATGGAATCACAACCTTTGAGGGTAGAGTTTGGTGGCTGTGTGTATATTAAGTTCCACCAGAAGTCCACTGC